TTTGTCGTTTACAATATTGAAGAGGAAATAACTTCACGACGGTTGATGATTGATATCTGGCAGCACACTGCTTGCGCCGCGCGTCTTATTGATGTTGTCAGGTGTTGGCAGTCCGTCGAACATAAATCATGACAAATTTAATTAGGATAAACAAACCAACTGCAAATTTTGAACGGCATCCGGCAATACATAAATATACATAACTATTCATAGCACTGTTTTAATTTCAAAATAGATTTATGAATTCCAGACAAATAAGTAAACCTTACTATAAATATAAATTGCACAAACAGAACTTAACTTAACTTAACTTAACTTATCTTCACGCACAATCCCTGACGGGGTAGCCAGAGAGAACAGATCGCCAAGTGTCACGATCCTTACATATCTCTTTCGCTTCTTTCAGATTCATTATCTTCGTCATACATGCACGTCTAGGTATCCGAGTACTCTTGACCCTACCCTCTTCGAGCAATTTGCTCACATGGTCTTCGAAAGTTAGTCTCGGTCTACCTCGACACCTTTTAATATTAACTTTCGCGCTATATATTTTCTTCACCATTCGGTCTTCACTCATTCGCTCAACGTGCCCAAACCACCGAAGCACGCCCTTATCAATTTTTGTGATAAGGTCATCTTTCAAACCTGCCATATTGCGAATCTCTTCGTTTCGCTTTCGGTCGGCCATGGTAACGCCGCACATTTTACGAAGAGATCGCATCTCCACTGCATTCAACTTACTTTTATGCTTCTTCTGGCATACCCAGGTTTCGCTGCCATATAACAAAGTCGGTACCAACACTGCGTTATGTATTGCAAGGCGTGCACTCTTCGCTACGCCTTGCCTTTTGACTAACGCAGTCAGGGCACCATTGACTTTGTTCCCGGCAGCGACACGCCTGTCCACATCTAAATCACATCTTCCATCCCAGCTAAAAGCAATCCCCAAGTATACAATTTCATTTACCTGTTCTAGACATTCCTGATTTACCCATATTTCACACTTCGTTCTCTCTTCGTCCCTTTCAAATACCAGAACCTTAGTTTTATTAGCATTCAAACGGATACCTTTAATTTCACATTCCTCTTTCATACACTTTAATGTAACTATTTACATATTATTTAAATAATTGTGATGTTCACTGTAAAGCGAAAAAACAAACTTTTAACAAAACTTATTTTATTCAGTTTAGGTCTATGAAGTCGGCTTCTACTTTTATTTTTATAGAATAAAGATTACAAAGGAGCACATTGTCCACATAATGGTGAGTGGATGCCGTGGCCCATAGACATCTACATTTACCCTCGATGAAGAATCAAAATGCAGATGTGTTGTCACCCCTGAGGACTAAGCTGGAATGCCTCGTTTCCAGTAAAACGGGTCCCCGGTTCTCTACACTCACCATAAGAAACCCAGCAGTATTTTTGCTGAAATTTTACACTTGTATTCTGTGAGAGCGTATTTCTACTATAACTTTAATATAGCTGCAGCGTGGCTCTACCACGTAACAATTTTATTAAGAGAGAATTTTATATTTAATATTTACAAACAACACGTTAATAATTGTATTAAACCTTTAACAATGACCAAAGAGGATACTCATAGAATTTCTAACGCCATTGTTGAGACGTACCTTGTTTTGTAACGAGATATTCCGTTTATCCACCCTAAAAAATCCACCTTGAGATGTATACTACCTATAAAATATGTTTAACTTATTTTAACGGAATAACCTTTGTAACGCTATTTCTAGTAGGCTAAAAAATTACGTTTAATAAACGAATATTTTATTTCAACTCATCTCAATTTTCTGTTTTCAAACAACATTGTCCAATTCTATATAGAGAATTTTATAGATTTTTTTTATAGAAAGAAGGTGGAAAGAACTGTTTACAATAACAACAAAAAGAGTAGTAGTGAAGTGATGATAATCTACTACCCCATATGATTCCATTCGAAAGAGGTAACAAAGGGAATCTAAAACAGAAGATAGGCAGCAGCACCTGCCTGATAACAACCCAAAATAATAAAGTATTGCGGTTGCCAACCCGCCTGCCAAGCGTAGCAACTGAATGAATGAATGAATTAGTCACTTACAATAAAGTTGGCCGTTTGCTAATCTGTGACTACAGTTTAACCAAATTCCAAATATCTGTTCAGAAACGCAACCCCTTATTAACTACTGTTATATCTGAGGATAGGATATATTTGTACTTCCATTGTCCATTACAGCCTATAAAAGTCCACTGCTGAACATAAGGCAGATTAAATATCGACAGCGCCCTAGGCTTGCACCTCATAGGCACCCCTCTGTCGGCCATGTATTTTGCAAATAAACTGTATCATATTTTATAATAACGAGGCGCACTTTAGGAGCTCTATATATCCATAGAATTTTTTTTCTTTCCCTTGTTTTTTTTTTCGTTTAAAATCTACCGCGTGAGCCACTTTATAACCTTGCGCCTTTAGGCAAGTGCCTAGTTTGCCTTGAGGATAATCCGCCACTGGAGATAAGCCTCCCTCATAGATAGCCTTGCCCTTTGAAGGCGGAAGCAACCTCAGTTTCTTATTATTAGCAGAACGATGCTACTGCCCATCTCCTGTTCCAGTTTGCCTGTGCCGCTTCTTACTAAACTATCGGAACGATATGGGGTAGTGATATTTTTACAACACTACTGCGGAAATTGTACACGGTAATTTGCACTTCAGTTTTTTATAGGATAGGGTGACAAACGAGCACACAGTCCACCTGAAGGTAAATGGTTGCTGTGAACCATAGACATCTACAGCTATACTCAATAAAGAATCAAAATGTAGATGCGTTGTCACCCGTGAGAACTAAGATGGAATGCCTCGTTTCCAGTAAAAAAGGTATCAGGTTCTCTACACTCACTATAAGAAACACAACAGTGTTAAGCTGTTATTTTACAATAGTATTCTGTGAGAGCGTGGTCTTTCCCCAGTGGAGCCGACCCACTCGTGCAACTGTACTACTAATATAGCTGCAGCATCGCTCTACCCTCTACAAATATTTGCCCATGGCAGTATTAATCTTTTGTTGTAGACATAACATTTCTCGTCCATTGTTCGTCATTTGTGACGCTACATTCATAGAGTTTATTTTAGGAGACAACTTCATGAGCGCTGCCAATATCTATTGTTCTGAACAAACGAAAATAAAAAAATGTCGTCTGTGAGTAAGTGGGACGCATAACATTGTTTCCGTGCTCATTATGGCTGAATCACACTATCTCGGTCTTTATGAGAGTGATTAGTGGATTGTATTAGAAGAAACTCGTTAACAGTAGCTGTATAGTAGTAGATTAGTATTACTGGCTTTAGTAGTGTGATTCTACATACTTTCTTTTACATACGTTGAAAGACACCTTTTCCGCCTATGAGATCCACTGAATAGGAACCCCTTTTACCGCTAAACAGCAGTGCTTGCACTGCTATTTTCCGCTCTGAAGTTAGAGATATCTTCAAAATTACCAGTCAGTATAATTACCGTGAGACATCCTATCTATCCATTAGTTAGCGCTCGCTGTAAATTTCACAGTACGCGAGCAACCCGGCTTCGATCCCCGCCGGTGCCAATGAAATTGTTACTTGCAATTTTAATTGCTGATTTACCACGTGCTAGACGGTGAAGGAAAACATTGTAAGGAAACCTGCGTATCTGAGAGATAAGAAATATTTTTTTTCTTATTTCTAGAGAGGCAGCGCGGAGGATACTTCCTTGCCCTAAAACCCTCTCAGAAATGAAAGGAGGCCTGTGCCCAGCGGTGGGATGTATATAAGCTGTAACTTTAACTTTACTTTCATCCCATCTCAGTCCTCAGAGGTGACAACGCAGTAGCCTTTTTGTTTAAAATTGGCTAAAATAAAATACACACACAAATATATAATATATATTATATATGTGTGTGTGTATTATATATGTGTCTTCCCCGTTATATATATCTTTCCCTATCCTATATATGTCTTCCCCGTTGACAATTAATTAACTTTATTTTACTTTTAACTCATATTATTAAATATTGTGGTGATTGAACCACAATATTTAATAATATGAGTTTAAGTGATTAGTGACAATAAAAAAATTGAAATCAAACGAGACAAAATTCTGTAAACATTTGTTTCATTCAGTTTTAGTAGTTTTGTATACGTTTATTATAGCTTCTAACATCTAAATAGAAATTTATAAAACAAATAATATTTTTGTTATGTGACTGAAATGAATGGCACAAAAACTACGTCACGTAATTGGCAACGACCCTAGATTCGTCCAGACGACAAGATTCGCAAAATAAATACTATGCTTCATGTTACTATGCCGTATGCGCCCCCGTCATTAAATGACGTTCATTCATTTCTGTGAAATACACTATAAATGAAGTACTCTCAGAGAGTCCACTTATAATGCCTATTATCGGTACCATTACAGATTATTAAAGTCCACTGCTAAAAATAGGCCTCCCCCATAGATTGCCTCCTAGAAAAACATTCACCATTGTTGGCAAACGAGTTGGCAGCTGAAGTTTTTATATCTTTTGTCGTCATTAGGAAGACGCTGCTTACTTGAGATGTCTTGATTTATTTCCCTCTGTCGCCTCTTACGACACTTATTCTATAAAAAAAAAAAGACTATTTTAGGAAAGGGGTCTCTTGCCCAAAATAGTTTAGGAATCCCTGATCTATGCCGACTTCAATACAAATTATTAAAGATAACTCAAAAACTATTGGTCAGGCCTTTATCAAATTTATATGGTACTACATGAGAAGCAGCTTTCAAATAAAAAAAGAATCATCGAAATCGATTCACCCAGAAAAAAGTTATGAGGTAATACACATAAAAAAACATACAGTCAAATTGAGTACCGCCCCCTTTTTGAAGTCGATAGAAAAAGAGTCTAAGCACTATACGCCTTCACCAGAGGGCGATTTGTCAGTACTATTACCGGGAACAATATTAAAATTTATTATTCATTATTTTCAGAGTTCGTCTTTAACAGACTTAATATCATCGTTCGACACGAAAGCACAGACGCACAGCGAACTACAAAAAGTCACAGCATTCAGCGGCCATTTTGACAAAAATCACAAGCCCACATTCTCAAAGGAGGAATATGGCAAGTAAGTAACACATGACAAAGGTTAAAAAAAAGATTCAAATTAATTGTACTTGCAATAAATAATTGCTCCAATTTGCATACGCCCATTATATATTATATATTTTATTTTATCCTAAATTATTATTCCTTTTATTTTGTTTAACATATAAAGGGCGTATTGAGACAGCACCATTAGCAGCATATCATGGCTATGTCGCCTCAATCCAATCGAGATATGGCGTTATATTTTGGGGCAATGAACCCATTCGCGTTGTGTACATCGCGCAAAAAATATTAAAAAGCGCAAACACGTGTAAACCACATTTTCAAAAATTTTAAATTCTAACATTTCCATCATTATATATTTATGGAACAAGCATTTTTGTAAAACGTAATATTAACTTGTATAAATTTGTGGAAAGTCAACATCGCTCTGATAAACTTGATTAAGTGGCAAGTAGAACTGTTTTTTTACAGAAGAGTATATTATACGCAATGGCATCAAAGTATTTAACAAAATACCTGAGTGCATTAGAGATAAACGTAAACTTAGATGAAATCTTCAATGATAAATTTTGACATTAGGACACATCCTTTAATCAATGTATTGGATTTACATGTTTAAAATATTTATTATTACGTTCACTACATACCTATCATGACATGTGCCAATTAATACAAGACGTCAATAAGAGAAAATGTTGACTATTATTGTATGTACACTATAGCTATATTATCTTTAAATTTTTCCTAATAATTAATATATTATATAATTATTTTAGTTAGAACCTGACATCAGAAAAGAAAAAATATTGAGTGTTGCACTTATTAATATTATATTTTGTATGCTTACTGGCGGGACATAGAGAACCTACCTTATATTTTATTATGTACATATCGAGATTTGTAAATTAACTATGTTCCCAAAATAAACAGATATGATTTGATTTGAATATTTTATCATCAACATCATTCGTAATTATCACTGCGTACATAGTGTAGACCTGTCTCAAATAAAATAATTTTCAGTAATGACAACACTTGACGGGTTAACATAGCGTAGACCTGTCCCAAATAAAATAATTTTCAGTAATGACAACACTTGACGGGTTAATATTTGCAGTAACAATTGCTTTGCATCTAAAATTCACTACTTCCACACATCAAATTGAGTTTAAGAAAAAACTTTAAGAAAAAATTCTATATATGCTTCAATTTGCTGTAAAGCTAAACATTAAAAAGACTCACGTACTCGTCAATACGATACGAAAATAAATTACAAGTCAATAAACCTTTGCTGAAATCTGACGTCGGACGGTCAAAACTCGGGTGGTTAAATGCTATTTTGGTCCGTTATTTTATTATATGTTTTATAAATTCATGTTACTTTTGACCACTTCGCCAATAATCCACAGTTGGGCATCCAACTTCTCCAAACACTGCAGGAAAGTTCCTGCACTGCTTACAGTCATCGACCCAATACACATCTTTCGTCTTACTAAATCGTCATTCAGTTTAGAAAAGGGTTTCTCACACTGCGCAAGTTAGTAGAGAACCGCGACCTTTCCATACCATCGGTGTTCTGTGGTTCAAACTATATAACTGATCTTTGCCTTCACCTCACTGATCCGTCAAGCAATATTGCTCACTGATTGACTATCTGATTTTTTTTACAGGATATGGGTGACAAACGAGCGCACAGTCCACCTGATGGTTAGTTATTGCTGTGGCCTATAGATATCTACATCTATCAAAATGCAGATGTGTTGTCACCCCTGAGGACTAAGATGAAATGTCTCGTTTCCAGTAAAAAGGGTCCCCGGTTCTCTACACTCTTCATACGAAACAGAGCAGCGTTAAGCTGCTATTTTACGCTAGTATTCTATGAGAGCGTGGCCCTTCCCCGGTCGAGCCGACTCATTCGTGTTACAACTATACCAGTAATATAGCTCCAGCATGGCTCTACCATGTATATACAGCAGAAGTCTTCATTTCGGATCCGGAGTACTTCTGAGTCTATAGTTCGCTGATCAATTCTGAGCGTAATTATACGTTCGGGAATGAAAATCACGTCTCGTTCCATAGATAATCCCTGGCAACTCAATTATACCCTATTTTTAAAGATTTTGAGACCGTAAAGAAAATTATTAATTTATAACCAATTATAAATTATACATTGCATTATAAAGATTATTTTAATACCACTATATAAAACTAAATTAACTTAGTGAATAATATTTGATTTTTGATTTCTATAACTTAAATTGAAAACAAAATACAAAATTAGGTGGTTTTAATATTAGTACGATTTCTTATATTTACGCGAACACTACACATTTGAATAAAACTAGTTTTTACGGATTTTATCGCGTAGGATCTCAAGCAGATGGTAGCACCCAGCCATCTTCTCTATTGAAATTAGGAGGTTTATTTTGATTTTAATAGCCTTGCGAATCATCCTTGGAAAGAATCGGTGTTCTTTAGCGAGGATTTGTGGTCTATCAAATCTAATGTCGGGGTCGCTTAGCGAGCTATGGAAAGGGCTATGCTCGGGGTTTCTCTGCGTGATAAACTTAGAAATGAGGATATCCGCAATAACCAGAGTGACTGACATAGCTCAACGGATTAGTAAGCTAAAGTGGCAATGGGCCAGCCATATAGCTCGAAGAACCGACAACCGATGGGGAAAAAAGGTTCTCGAACCAGTAGGCGAAGTGTGGGGCGACCTCCCACTAAATGGAATGACGACCTGGTAAGACATGCAGGAAGTCGATGGATGCAGGTGGCTCAGGACCGTGGTTTGTGGCTTTCTTTGGGGGAGACTTATGTTCAGCTGTGGACTTGTGAAGGGCTGTAATGATGATGGTGATGAAATCTAATGTAGTGCAGGGGCGATCCTGTACGTGTTCACAGACTGCAGACTTCAAGGAGCGTCTATTCTTCTCATTAACTATGTGTTCTTTAACGCGAGTTTTTATTGATCTTTTACTTTGTCCTATATAAAAAAGTCCACATTCACAATCAAGCTTGTACACTCCTGCATTTTGCAGAGGGACATTATACTTGACTGATGGCATTCCTCCAAAACCCAATATACGGTGTTAATGGGAGACTTCAATGCAAAACTAGGCACAAGAGAGAACGGTGAGCTGAAAGTAGGGAAATTTGGAATAGGGCAACGGAACCCAAGGGGCCAGCAGCTGGCCGACTTCATGGAGAAAGAGGGACTCTTTATGATGAACTCTTTCTTCCAGAAGCGGCCCCACAGGAAGTGGACCTGGTCGAGCCCCGATGGTTCGACAAAAAATGAGATTGACTTCATTATGACGACCAGACGACAACTGTTCAGTGATGTCTCCGTGATCGCGAGGGTGAAAACTGGTAGCGATCACCGAATGGTTAGAGGCACACTGAACCTAAACGTTAAGTTGGAGAGGTCTCGTCTAATAAAGTCAACGCTCCGTCCCCCTCGTGCTCTGTTCCAAAGTCCCGAAACCTTTCAGCTCGAGTTACAAAACCGTTTTCAGTGCCTAGAAGACTGCAATGAAGTGGACGATATGAATGACAAGCTCGTGGAAACTGTCCATGCGGTCGGAGCTAAGTTCTGCAAGACCCGCCGCAGAAGAACACAAAAACTCTCCGATCACACTCTTAATCTCATGGCTGTTAGACGGGAGATGAAGCTACATTCTTCAACAGACTTGACAGCATACAGGCATCTGAACAGACAGATCTCCAAATGCATGCGGCGGGACTTACGCAACTTCAATACAGCTCGTATTGAAGAAGCGATCGAGCGGAACCAAGGCTCCAAAGTCTTTGCCAGAGATCTGTCTGCCAGAAAGAGCCACCTGTCAAAGCTGAAGACAGAATGTGGCAGCATCGTTTCCGGGACACCTGAGATTTTGAGTGAGATTGAGAGGTTCTATGGGCAGCTGTACACGTCATCGTTGGAGCCACACGCAAGTGTGAGTAACGATCCAAGAGCGAGTCTCATCCGACACTATTCCGAAGATATCCCGGACGTCAGTCTGAGCGAGATTAGAATGGCTCTCCAGCACCTTAAAAACGGTAAGGCCCCAGGCGAGGATGGAATTACAGCGGAGCTTCTGAAAGCGGGTGGAAGACCGGTACTTGAAGTCCTTCAGAAGCTCTTTAATTCCGTCCTCCATGGTGGCATTACACCGGAGGCGTGGAGCAGAAGTGCGGTGGTCTTGTTCTTCAAGAAAGGTGACAACGCTCTCTTGAAGAACTACAGACCGATTTCCCTTCTGAGCCGTGTCTACGTGCTGTTTTCGAGAGTCATTACGAATCGTCTCGCGCGCAGACTTGACGACTTCCAGCCTCCCGAACAAGCCGGTTTCCGAAAGGGATTTAGCACCATAGACCACATACATACCCTTCGGCAAATTGTACAGAAGTCCGAAGAGTACAATTTGCCACTATGTCTGGCGTATGTGGACTATGAGAAAGCCTTTGATTCCGTCGAAATTTGGGCGGTGCTGCAGTCCCTTCAGCGGTGCCAAGTTGACTGTCGGTATATCGAAGTGTTGAAGTTCTTGTACAGTAGGGCTACGATGGCTATCCGAGTACAGAATCAGAGTACGAAACCTATCCAATTGCAGAGAGGTGTAAGACAGGGTGACGTCATATCCCCGAAACTCTTCACCGCTGCATTGGAAGACGTTTTCAAGCTTCTGGACTGGAAAGGATACGGTATCAACATCAATGGCGAGTACATCACTCACCTTCGATTTGCCGACGATATAGTCCTTATGGCAAAATCGCTGGAGGACCTAAGCACTATGCTCAATGATCTCGATAGTGTTTCCCAACGGATAGGTCTTAAGATGAACATGGACAAAACAAAGATCATGTTCAATGTCCATGTCACACCTATGCCGGTAGTTGTTGGGAGCACTAAGCTCGAAGTTGTTGACGAGTATGTTTACCTGGGACAAATAGTCCGACTAGGTAAGTCCAACTTCGACCGAGAGGTCAATCGACGGATTCAACTCGGCTGGGCAGCGTTCGGGAAGCTACGACACATCTTCTCGTCAGACATACCTCAAAACCTGAAAACGAAATTGTACAACCAGTGCGTGTTGCCAGTGATGACTTATGGAACTGAGACGTGGTTCTTCACTGCTGGCCGTATGAGGAAGCTCAAGGGCGCTCAGCGAGCTATGGAGAGGGCTATGCTCGGAGTTTCTCTGCGTGATAAACTTAGGAATGAGGATATCCGCAGTAGAACCAGAGTAACCGACATAGCCCAACGGATTAGTAAGCTGAAGTGGCAGTGGGCCGGCCATATAGCTCGAAGAACCGACAACCGATGGGGAAGAAAGGTTCTCGAGTGGCAGCCTCGTACCGGTAGGCGAAGTGTAGGGCGTCCCCCCACGAGATGGAGTGACGACCTGGTAAGACATGCAGGAAGTCGATGGATGCAGGTGGCTCAGGACCGTGCTTTGTGGCATTCTTTGGGGGAGGCCTATGTTCAGCAGTGGACTTGTGAAGGGCTGTAATGATGATGAATGATGATGGTAAATACTTACCAATCTTCTGCGGCGGCTTGAAGTATGTTTTAATGGTAGCATGCTTCAAGATGTAGCCAATTTTGTCAGTGACACCTCTGACATATGGCAGTACAGCAGGTACTCGTTCGACTGTGGCCGGCTTCACTCGTTTACTGTAACGTAGCCGCGGGACACGAAACTTGTTACGTTTCGGGTCCCGCGTTTACATAGATCAGAACAAAAATTAATAATTTTAATTTGGAGGTAGCCGTGGTTAACTATGACATTGGGACGTCAAACACCTCAGTCCCCCCCTTCCCCCCTTCCCCCGTGACCATGGGTGCTGTAAAGTGCTCGAAACGTCAAGAGTATAAAATAAGTTAATATACACGAAAAATCCGTAAAACCCAGTTTTATTCAAATATTAGTACTAGGTTCTGGTAACTTCGTTGGGCTTAGCGAGGGTGGATTTAAATGGCATTCTTGTTTTAGACCTATACCTGGTTCGAAGACTGAACATAGAGGGGCAGAAGCGCAAGCAAGAGTCTGTACAGAGATGAAGGAGTTGTGCGAGATCATTAACGAATACGGAAAGAATCCTTGCAAGAGCCTCTTACCTCCGGAACTCAGAAGTGCTACAAAAGTCATTTCGTTTGGAGAACTTTTCACGGTAAGTCTAATTTCAAGATTCTCTTTCAAAGAAACAGTATTTTAAAACTTTACAAAGAAAACTAATTTTAACTTTTCAAGTTATTTTATTCACATCAAAGCAAATGACAGGTTTACAGACACCCATACAAAACGTTATTCAGCTGTTACATGTTTTTAAAAACGCGCAGAAAAATTAGCAGCACTCTCGTATGGTAACGGCGTAAAGAAATTCATCGACCCACCAGATTGAAGTCGACATATTTGTTTTTGATTCTTCTTCTTTTAATTCTTCCGATATCGTCTGTATATTATATAAAACGAAACCTAATGAACTTTGGTGGTGGAATACATATATATAATATGTTGTATAATATATAATATGTTGGTTACAAAATGCCCAAAGTAGCAAATTGTATTTTATTTAATCTTTACAATACACGATCAAAAAGCGGACTCAAGCTAAAAGCATTCTCTGCCAGTCCATCTGCCCTAAGGCAGTGATAACATTACGTAGGTGGTCACAGAGAACATCACAAAATATTATAAAAATTAAACATGTACACACATAACTTAAAACATATATTATGTAATATAAGATATATAATATATAGCAGAAATCGAGATTTTTTTATAGGATAGAGTGATAAACGAGCACACAGTCCACCAGGTGGTAAGTGGTGGATATGACCAATAGACATCTACATGTATCCTCAATAAAGAATCAAAATGCAGATGCATCGTCACCCGTGAGGACTAAGATGGAATGCTTCTTTTCCAGTAAAATGGATCTCCGGTTCTCTACACTCAACATATGAAACACAGCAGCATTAAGTTGCTGTTGTACGCTGGTATTCTGTGAGAGCTTGGTCCTTCCCCGGTCGAGCCGACCCATTCACGCTACAACTATACTACTAATATAGCTGCAGCGTGGCTCTACCACGTATAATATAATAGAAAATTGTAATAATGATGGAGCTTAGGTATTTTGAACCATTTTTAGAAAATTTGTCTGATGACAAGGTCCCTCACAGTCCGTCCCTGACATAAGACATGCCTATGAGCAACAGTGGACTTTTAGTAACTAAAAATATTTAAATTTAACATCATCATCATTCATCAGCCTATCAAAGTTCAGTGCTGAAATTAGGCCTCCCCATAGATTGTCTCCTAAGGGGGACATTTTCCATAGTTGCCACGCTTTGCAAACTAGTTAGCAAGCGCATTTTTCTTGTTTCGTAGTTGTTAACAGGAAGACGCTCCTGCTTATCCCCTGGTTCGTTTCTCTCTGTCGCCTCATACGACACCCTCGGGACGATATGAGTTAGCGGATTTTCTTACACCGCCCCTACACGGTAACTAGAACAAAATTCACTTTACTTATTTGAAAATTATTTGAACATATATTTAACATTTATTTACAAATAACACAACAAGTTATTTCCAATACAACAACTAAACGAACGACATCATATGTCTGAAGTTATATTATATCAGGCACCATTAAATTACACGATAATAATGATCTTGGCAACGTCTCTTAGAATGATACACATTTGAAATATTCCAAGATCGCGACGATCTTGTTTTGAGCACTTGTTCTTCGTCGTAAACATATGAGCTTTATATTCTGTTATATTTGGAGATTATTAGTAAATTTAAGTCATCAAGGAAAATTTTGGAAGTCAATTTTGTAAACGTTAGGTCAAATATGTTCTTCTTTTCAACCTGCAGAATTCCACTGCTGCATATTGGCCTTTTCTATTGTCACGTCATACTTGGTAGGCGGGTTGAAGATTGCAGTTTTAGACATATGACGCTCCTGCCCATCGTAATTCGTAAGTCTGGATATTTTACGTCTGACGTGAACGAGATCGTTATGCTGCCATCTCTCGGATTTTTCTGGCATCTCCCTCAGTTGCCTCTTTTGAATTGCACGGGACGTAATAGGTCAATGGATTTTCTTACAGCGCCACCACACGGCCAACGTCATATATTAAAATTAAAAACAGTTGCCTCTATCCTGTATGTATTTCTTGCTCTTCTTACTTTCGGTTTTTAAAAGTTAAATCAAAGCGAAATATCATTAAAACTGAATTATTTCTTAAATGGAAAATCACAATTTGTTGTATTTTTTACCTACAAAAATGATCGTACATCACTTGAAAAACATTATGTGAGTTACATCGAACCCGACCGAGACCAAACTGGTGACGTCATTACACATTCCGTTTAGTGGGAACGGCCATCACGGCCATGATTTAAATTTGGAACGTATATTTACTAATGTGCGACCGCGTTCACTCACGTAGGTAATTACTACACGGGCGGGTACATGAATGTAGCCGAATATGGAAATGAAAAGAGCAACCTCTCAGCTGGTTTTGGAAAAATAAAACAATGTATTTTGCAAATATATTTTAAATGTTACAAGTATGCAAAGGAAAAATCATTAAAGTGTAAATTGAGGATATACTTTTACAAGATATTCTAAATCTTTTCGACAAAAATCTATTAAGTACTGTAAAACTATATGAAAGCTCTGTATACTAATGAATAAGCAATTGACTGCGGCACCGCAGGCCGTGGATTCGATTTCCGCGCGGTACAAGTATTTTTTTGATCTACAAGTACAAAATACAAGTAGTTTTCGGCGAGGATGTTTATGGTTGTGCAATTGATTTTAGTAAAACGCCTTCACTTTGCAAGATTTAAACGTGGTAGAGCCACACAACTATAATGTTATTTGTGTCGAATGTGTCGGCTCGGTCAGGGTGGTACCACGCTATCACAGAATACCAGCGTAAAATAACAGCATAGTGCTGTTGTGTTTCGTATGGTGAGTGTAGAGAACCAGAGACCCTTTTTACTGGAAACGACGAATTCCATCTTTGTCCTCAGGAGTGACAATGTATCTGCCTTTTGATCCTTAATCCAGGATAAATGTGGATTTCTATGTAGGTATATCTATATACAGAATAATCAATATTTGTTTAGTAAAACGTTATAAATGTGTTCATTTTGTGAAATAGTCCCATATGTTTATCATTAACGTCCAAGAAAACCTATTATTTCATAATTTAATAGCGCTTCTAAATTTATTTGACGTCCGTTTATTTATGTCCAATATTTAGGAATCGGTTGACCTTCATATTGGACAAATATTTATGTTTTTCACCATCGCCTCATCACAAATTATTTTCATTCTATTATGCAATACATATTTGAAAAACATTTTTGTTTCCAAACGCTTCCTAAAATAATCTGCGACCGGATTCCGCCTAATAATAAATCTTTTTCGCAAAAATAGACATTTCGTAAGTTAAAATGTGGCACATTTCACACATTATATTTATTTGAATAATACGTTTTATGATTTTACGTAATTTTAAATTACAAAATTATATTTGAAGCAAAAAAGTAAAATTATACTTGACGTGATTATACATACATACTATCCACAACTTTGTTACCATAGCCGTAATCACTATAAATAATTTTATTATACATATTTATTATTTATAATCGTTGACTATCGCTTACTTTAAGTATTAATCATCTATATACCTCTTTCTATTGTCATTTAGTAATAATTACAACTTTAACAAAAAGTAAAAAACGACTTTAAATTGCAAAAAAGAAGTTATTTTTTTGCTACCCTCTGCAAATAAATAACTTCTTTTTTGGGTGGTGCTTTTCCTCCAAATGAATATGGGACCACCTTTGAAGTATACGAAAAAAAAGAAACATCAAAATTGGTTTACAATCGGCGAAGATATCGCTTAACATACATACAAAAAATACATGATCTCAAATTGAGAATCTCCTTTTTGAAGTGGGTTTAAGTTATGGTCATATAATATCGCTTGCCTAAAAAACAAGAACAAAGGCAAAGTCATTTTTATGAGGATATTGAAAACGAAACACAGTTGTACGAACACGGTCATTCTATTAATTGTCAGACCAGCCATCAGAGTGAAACATTTTTAGATCCTTTGCCTACCGTGAGTTTTGAACACCATAACCAAATTATCAATAGAAATTCAGCCATATCCTTCATGAACACTGCTGAATAATGCCTTCAGCAGGTGTTTTTACAATAACACATCCTCAAACAAAAATAATATACACGTTTTAAAAACCTTAAAAAGCCCTTTTGTCCAACTGCACTATTAAAACGACCAGTAAAAAACAATGAAAAAACATTTTCATGAAAGTATTATTTCATGGAGCCGTGATGTATCGCTTTTCACCAAAGTTTTACTTTTGTCGGCAACTCTGTGTTTTGTTTTCTGTGAAGCCTTCTTCAAACTGTGCAGACCGTAACATTTATATGCCACTAAATTTTGAAATACATATACATAATATGTCGAATCTCTTTACCCATGTGTAGTGCTAGTGCGGTCTGAAATCGGAATATCCTCCCAAATAAACGGAATTTTAAGTATTTATCCCAAATATGAAAATATAAGTTCGGGGAAAAGTTTCTTCGTATTTTATATCCAAATTGAAGACATTTTTTTTTGAAACTTTAATTACATTTACTTAATTATAATACATATGTGCCATTTTTGTTCGACATCTTCTAGGTAGTGACATAATCTCGTTGCTGTAGAAATTTTGGAATTTTTGTTAAAAAAAATGCGACAAGTAGTTTTGACAGACCGCTCTTGATATTAACCTAACACTGCTCAAAGAATTCTAAAGAGACCGAAACAGATGAATCTGTTTCGGTCTCTTTAGAATTCTGAGGCTGCAAGGTCAGGACTATATGGTGGATATATTAACACTTCCAAACCAAGCTCTCAATTTTTCGTGAGTGGAAAAATAAGTGTGTGGTCTGGTGTTATCGTGATGAAAGACCACTCCTATTCTGTTGATCAATTCCGGCCGTTTTTTCTCAATCTTGCTTGAGTCTCGTTAGTTGTTAGCAGTAGAGATCCGAATCAGTAGTTTTGCCCGGCGGTAAAACCTATAATAAAAGATTCCCTTCCAATCCCACCATACACACATCATAACCTTATTGCATATTAAGCCGGGTTTCGCTATAGTCTATGGAGCTTGACTACCCTTTCACCATGATCTTTTACGCACGTTCTTGTCGTAGGTGATGCACTTTTCATCACCAGTGTTCAATTTTTTCAAAAATGGTTCGGTTTCATTACGTTTTAATAGAGAATCGCAACTGAGTACACGATTCATTAGGTTTTTTTTTTTCAGTGAGCTCGTTTGGTTACCAAATATCGAGCTTTATTGTACAGCCAGAATTTTTTAAATGGGTCAAAACTGTTTTGTAATCTATCCTCAATTCCTCGGCTATGTCGTAACTACTAATATGCCGATCTTGCTGCACCTTTTCAAAAATGGCATCTATTTTATCCGTATGAGGGCGACCAGAGCGAGCTGCGTCTTTGACATCAAAATTCCCGGACTGAAATCGCTTGAACCAACTTTGTACTACACTTACTGACACTGAATTAGTTCCATAAACGTTACAATTTTTTCCCGGCTAGGGTCGCATTTTCCCCTTTTTCAAATAAATCTTTAGGATGTATCGAATTTCTTCGTTATATTTACTCATTTTGGCGGACAGAAAAAAAATCGAAAATGGCGGGAAACTGTTTTTTACTTCTTATTTTTCATTTTGTTAATGTCCTATATGTATTGATATTTAAACCAGCCAGATACAAACAGTACAAGCAAAGAGATTTTTCTTCACTTTTATACAAACAAAATACGAAGAAATTTTTCCACGACCTATTATTTGTAATAACAAGACACTATGCAAAACACCTAGTGTAAACACGATGACATGAATACTCCCTTCATACCCCACCTGTATATATATTAATGTTTCTTTTATTCGTTTTATTCCAAATAAACAAGAGTATTTGTACAGTACTTAGAAGAGTATTTATTTTACTCGATGTCCGTTTGTGTCACTTGTGGCTTATCGCCACCCTAATATTACATAATATGGACCTTTAGCTAGCGTAACGTAGTTTATCTAAGACTGCGTAATTCGTTCGATCGCAAACTCAGTTACAGAGTTTGGATAGTGGAAAATATCGAATATAGAGGTGGTATTTTCGTTATCCATAGGGAATTACTAAATTATCCTAATATTTTCCTAAGTCGAACTGCTCAGCCCCAGAGGATATTATAATAAAAAAATACATAAATATTGTCTGTTTCAGATATACACCGTAATTTCGGACAAGCTTGTTGGCTTACTACTTCGGACGAGGAAACATCAGCTAACATATTTTGAAGGCGAGGTGTTATTCCAGGTATAAGAAACATTTTCTGTGATGACTTCGGACTTTTTTATAAAACTGAAATGGCAAACGAGCTTACAGTCCACCAGATGGTAAGTGGCTACTGCAGTCGCTGGACATCTGCGGTCAACTTCAAACAAAGAAGACTACAGATGCGATGTCACTTCTGAGTACTAAGGTGAAAGGCCTCACAGCCTTTAATAATATTGGCTCCCAGAACAGAAGTCAGCATTTTAAGCGCTGCTGTTTAGCGGCAGAAATCAATAAAAGGTCCAGTTCAGTAAACTGTCCACTACTGGAGATAGGTATCTGCTTTAAGCTAAGTTAAAGTAACGCTCAATATTGCTTGGCACGGTCCTTTATTTCTGAAAGGATTGTGGAGTGAGTCAGCCTCGTTGCTTTAGTGCGCGTTGGCGGGCTATATAGGTTCACCATGTTTTCCTTCACCGCCGAGCACGTGGTAAAACATCATTTTAAAATACAATTAACAATTTCATTGGTGCCGGCGGGGATCGAACCGGATTGCTCGCGTACTGTAAAATTTACGGCGAGCGCCCATAAGTAACCATGGGTAATTGCCTATACTTGATATATTTATATATTTGAATTTGCATTTCCTCTCGTGACCATAGGTGCTGCAAAAACCCCAAACGTCGGGAATTAAAAAATTACATTTAAAAACTGGCCAGTGCGTGTCGGGCCACGCACAATATAGGTAGGGTTCCATAGTTGCCCCTGACAATACGTGGACATGATAATGAGCATAATATGTGAGTTCGCGGTGTGACCGCTACAACGGCTGAAAATAGAGGTGAGACCCGACCACTGAGGTCGCCCGCATAAACCAAGAGTGTGAAGAATGGAATTGTATGAGGCTATTTGATTGTATAATGGATACATATACGAAATCTCTCTGAAAGTATTCGGCAGCTTCAGAGGTTTTTAATATCAGGCTAAGTAATACTCGTAATCATGCTGCAACTGTATCATGGTTGCAGTTTATGCATCTGCTCGTTTCCAGTAACACAGAATGCCACCGTAAAATAGCAATTATAATACTACCACGTTTCTTATGTGGTGCCATGAGAACCGGAGGCCTATTTTTTTGTTGTCTTGAAGGATAACGACGAACCTGCATTTTGATTCGTAATTGAAAACAGATGAAGATGTTAAATGGCCACACCATCCACTCGTCAGATGGACTATGTGATTGTTTGTCACCCTCACTTCTTATGCAAAAAAGGATAAAACTATGGCCATAAGTCGAAATTTTATAAATAATGTTAAAGAAGAATAGAATCACTAACAATATGATTGCATTCCAGAAACGTGATGACGATGTTCCTGTGTTCCTGATGCAGCCCATTGAAGACGTCAGAAACTACTGTAACAATAAAGCGCTACAAGCTAGAAGATCAGTGTCACCTATGCCTAATTAGTTATGAATATTAAAAATGTGTCTTTGTGCTTTGTGTTGATAGTTGTCGCTCAAATCTTAAACTTAAATTGCTCCATAAAAATCTCCAAAATGATGAATCCAGCTTACACCCCGTATGTATGTAACTATAACTAATTTTTCAAGTTATTACTTTACTTTTTACATCAGATCTTTTGCTTAAATCTAAACCTAAATTTCTAAAGTTAACCGTAGTTCAATGACTTTATAAGAATAATAGAATCGCCTCAAAAGTATTTTGCAATTGTGAGTAATGTTAAAATAAAAAGTAATCTCGCCTATTGCCTGGTAATAAATGTTACTGGTTTTCGAAAATTCATTCGTAAAATGAAAATTAACTAACATATGGAAGTTATTTCCCTTAAAAAAAAAGCCTTCATCAAATCTTTGAATCAGGTACCTAACAAAGTAGTATTAAAAACAGATCAATGACACTAAAGGCGAAATGTTATTATTTAATCGATGTCTAAATATGTTTTATTTTTATTAATTAGAAAGACTTACACAAACTCTTACATTTTCAATCGTTTGCGAGATGATATTTAGTTGGTTAGCATTTTTCTTCAATAAGCGACAACGACGACAGAATTCAAAAATTTTACCAATAATAATCTTATGTTATAATATAATACTAATAATCATGTACCCACATTACAAAATACCATAGATTTTCAAGAATTTTGACAACTCTGTTAAGTTGTGCTTAGAAAAAAATCAAATATATTTGCAGTTTTATAAAATTATTGAAATATACGCGCATAATCCTTTAAAAGCATTTCCTATTATTTTTATATGACAATTTCTTAATGTTTTGCAACTAAACAGAGTGAAGTCCTATTAATTAGCTTAGTATATATAAATATCATGGATGATCAGAAAAGAAGGGACCCTTTTGTAATGTGTGTTAACTAAGTAAGAGACCTTAATCATAGCTTGATGACTGTTAACGAATGATAATCATCCCCATCAAATCATAGTGACCGCATAAAAGCATCTATTAGCCTCTTTAAGCAAAAGGAACTCAGGTAACTGAAATATCACGGCCTCCGATCGATGACGGAAAAACTAACACGTATTATATTGCATATTAATTTAAATTTTACGAATTTTACGATGATAGTTATTAATAATAATATATTTATACGTATAGACGACTGCAAGCACCAATACAAACCGTTTTGCGGTTTAATGGTGCTGAATAGTAAGTATGCACTATTGTAATATGTTTTATGTATCATTAAATAAAAAAAATTAAAATAAACTCGGACCGGTGACGGAAAGGTAGAGTCCATCTCTACCAATAAGCGGCTAATAATTTTCTGATCGCCAGATGTCGCTAGTTGACACTGAGGTAAAGTTTTTTGTTATACAATGTCATTTAATTGAGAAGTTAGTTTTTAATAAAAGTTTCAGTTCAGTTCTTAGAGTATTATATTAATACACAATTCAGTTCAGTTTTTAAAGTATTATATTAATACACAAAACAATGCCTCAGTGGTTTGATCCTTAATTATTTGCACATTTTGAACTCCTTTTTAATTTTTCTACTTTTATGAATATCTGTTGTTCAGTTCATTTATTTTTAATCTAATTAATAAAAAGTATAGCTAATAGTACAGAAACATTAACCTTTACATTTTCCGAATAAATTAACTTCACCGCGATGAAATTTGGCAAATATTATACCTCAGTTTTTAGTGGCGCCGCCCTGGTGGTAGAAAAAGTCGTGGATGCCCTCATTGGTACTGCGATTGCTCATCCTCCTGCTTAGATTACAAGAGTTTTACCATCTTCGGTTACATCACCGTTAATTTACCATAATATAGGATACAAGTAAAGCATTGGCTCATAATACGAGTAGCTAATAATTATTACTTTTAACAAAAAGGAAAACTGACGTCATATTGCAAAAAAATTATTTATTTATTTGCTACCCTTAGGAGTGAAATTTTTTCCCCAAAATTTATATGAGATCACCCTTGAAGTATATATTATCATCTATTTAATAAAAATAATCAGCGAAATAGGTTCACAATTTGCGAAGATATCGCGTGATATACATACAAAAAAACACTCGAAGTGAGAACATCCTCCTTTTTAAAGTCGATTAAAAATATACATTATAACCCTATTACACGTAGTGGAGTTAATTTAATTTGTAATACAATACGTTAAATTATGGTTAGTGACGAATAATTTATAGTGCTAAGAAACAATACGTCTTAGGGATTCAGATAAAAGTTATTGGTATCATAAAATAGAACATAAATAAATTAAAAATTACAGTTGTGTCAATAAATTAGTTCAATTGTTTCATTTTTATATTCAGTTTGGTTATAACTTACTTGATTGATAACTTTTATCTGATGATTTAAAATTCAACCTATAGTTGGTAAATGTAATCTAGTCGTTCTAGTCTAATTCATTTGTTTTAAGTATAAATGTATTAGTATATTTTAAGTACATTAATTAAGAAAGAAGGGTCGATTTTGTAATTATAATAAAAAAACATACTTTCAAATTGATGCGTTTTATTGTACAATTATTTCGTCTGTAAGTATTAATATTGTGTATACCTACATTACTCATGCCTAATGTAACATTAATGCGACAAAGTATAACTATAAAGTACAGTGCGAATACAACAATATCACAGACATCATATAAATGATGCTCCCCACTGAATTCCGGATAACCATTTTTACCCGGAAAACGGTAAGTGTGGAGTCAGTAAAGATTAACTTCGATTTCACAAGGCACTTATCGTACTGAGTCATTCTTATATAAAATATTCTTATAAAAATTTAAAGCAAAGACTTATTACTATCGATTATAAAGATCTACAGTTTTTTATTTTGTTTAAGTTTTACCCGAACGAAATTGCAATTAAAAGCCAGGTGCAGTTAAATTTAAGCAAGCCATTACAATGAATGTCGATCTAAATTTCCAACGTCTAAATATGTCAAAAGTTGCATTTCGTCAGTTTATTTTTTTTTTCAGATTTTCTATATATATATAATATTAAATATATAAATTTATATGCATTATAAATATTATAAAATTTGTTATTTATTAAATTTATTGTTTATACCAGCGTAAAATTGTAGTTTAACGCTGCTGTGTTTCGTATGGTGAACCTTTTTACTGAAAACGAGGCTCACAGGTGATAACGCATCTGTATTTTGATTCGTAATGGAGGATAGATGTATATATATATGGGTTACAGCAACCACTTACCATCACGTGGACTGTGTGCTCGTTTGACACCCTTATTCTATAAAAAAATTAAATTTTATTATATTTATATTTATTAACATTTTATAACGAAAGACTATTGTATTATATGCCAGTATCATTTTTGGATGATTTAATTTTTTTAATCATAATATTTTTACATGTGGGGGAAATCGATTAACTTATTTTGTCTCATTCGTCAATAAGCTTTTAACGCCGATTGTTTGTGAGGTTATCATAAATAGACCAGCCTATAACCTTCATTTATAATCAATAACTTAATAATTTAGATCCACCGTCTACCGTATGCCTATCGTCATGTCATCTATAGAGATTTAAATAGAACAAAATTACTTTAATAATATACGAGTATACTCCGCAGGGTATAAAAAAGTCCATACTCGCTCGGCCTCCCTTTCCAACAATAAAGTAATACCACATTGGCAATAAGATGAGAAGAAGAATTGAATTTATTATAGCGTCAGAGACACAGCAGCATTAAGCTGCTTTTTTACGCTGCTATTCTGTAAGAGCGTGGTCCTTCTCCGGTTAAGCCAACCCATTCGTGGTAAAACCATAATAGTGCTGTAGCGAGACTCTACCACGTATAAAATAATGCGATATTTATAATTATTTATTATAGCACTACTATTAGTTTTAAAGAGGAGTTAAACCAAATTAAATGTGTGTGATGTGTCTGAAATTATGATCGCCAACCTGCTTTTCCAGCGTGACACGACCCTCTGTACTGTGTTGGTGACCGTCTCGTTGTACCCGAAACTGGTGGCGGTCGTGACTTGACAACAATGGTGCAAGAAGTGCTAAGAATCCTCGAGAGAAGGCACGTTACTACCACACTACCTGGTGACGTGCAGTGGACTAACTTTACACACGACGGGAGCATTGCAAAATTACAAGGAGAGTTGGAAAACATAAGACGGTACATTCTGGAATTAATGAAGTTCGATGAAAGAAGTTCGAACACACTCACCCTAGCATCTTATACTTTAATATCACGTGTAATGTATTTTTTTCCAAAGCAGAGTAGGTTTCCTCTTCAATAGAAAACTCTGTGACAGGATTTTGGAAATGTACAGCGTGTAGAAGAGGGTAGCGTATCTTGTTTTATATTATTTGAAAAGTACATTTTAAAAGATTTTCAAGTTTATGCACCAACTCCGACACCCTCGGACAATGAAATTGAAGCTTTGTGTGTAGATAGCTAAAAGATCTAACAAAGCATAAGTAAGGCCTACTTTAATGCTGTCATGGGGACCTTAAAACCTCGGTTATTAAGCCGCATGGTTATGGAAGCCGAAAGCATAAGGGGCGAAAATTATTTAACTTTTTTCAGAAGAAGTCCCAAAGGTAGTAGTGGTTTTTCTTCCGTATGTGGGAAATCATCATGGATACCAATTCAGCGGGCTGGCGACAGACTTTTTAAGCCGGGCTCCTGACGGCTAAAAGGTATAACCGGTAAAACGGCATGGCCGGTATTCTAGCGGTGTTCATCGGCAAAGTTTCCGGGACTAGGGGAATGTTACTCAAGTAGCTCTTAAAAGTTTCTTCACATTAAGGGCGTGGAGCTGGAGTTCTTCCCCCTTCTCATAAGGAGTTCGTGGGAATAACGTGCAGGACTTTCATATAGGACGACAGACAACCCTCATGCCCGCCATCTAGATCTCAATAATTATAGGAAGGAGTAGTATTCCCTGAACTGTTTCTTTACGTACGTATGTACACGTATCT